CGTCGACAACAAGGCCGCCATTGCCTTGTGTGAGGAGCACAGACTGGAGCACAAAACGAAGCACATCGCTCTGCGTTACTTCCTGGCTCGAGAGTTGCAGCAACGAGGTCAGCTTCGTCTTCGTCACGTGGCCATTCGGGCCAACACTGCTGATATATTCACCAAGGCACTTCCGTCTGGTGATCATCGGCGGTTTTGTACTCTGTTAGGTCTTGTGCCTACGTTTCCACACTTGCTGTAGTCTCTGCTTGTACTGTGATTTATATATATACACCTGCATGCCTGCTCTTGCTAGGCAGTCACCACTGTACTGTTATTGTTGCATATATATCTCTGCATGTGGACTGGCCTTGTGGCCCTTTGCTTGTGCTCAGAATGTGTGGTGACGTTGAGATCCACCCTGAGCTTGCTTTGCTTCTCTTGACTGGTCGTGTGACCCCTTGTTCTCCCCCACTTTGCCTATGGGGATGTGTCAAACATATATGCTGCATATTGTCTAGGCTGTAGTGGGGTAGCCCATATGGGGTACAGCCCAATTAGGGTTTACTACTTGTACTCCTGCATGCTGCTAGTTCATCATTCCTGCTGCTAGATTCTAACAGTTTGGTCAAAATATTTTTAGTCGCGACTTAAAATCCATGTTGGTGAAACATAATTCCTTGACCATCTTCCTATTTGTGTTCATGTTTTATGACGTTATTCATATTTTATGCAGCAACACTCCCCAATCCGCACAACTTTAGTCGGGTGAGTGTCATCAAGTACAGAGGACTTCTCTATTCGTAAGAATGTTCCATTCTTAATAATTTAAGATTTCTTCTTATTCCATGCTTCTGCTGAGGCTCAATTCAAGACACTTGAACCACTTGTAAAGAAAGGAAGGAAGCTAATAGATTTCCATCTCAAGTTCATTATCCTTGGTGTAAACCTTGCACATCTAGAGGAAGAAGGTTGTTCCACACCCATGTTTTTTTTTTCATTTTTAAGGGCTTCAATGTTGCTGAAGTTGTTCTTTGGCCTAAGTCAGCAGGCCAAGTAAAATGTGATGCAAAGAGCATCAATGCTGTGGTTGGTACGTGTTATATGTACGTGACACGCTATGTATCTCAGTTTATTTCCCCTTGTTTTTAGATTCATAACACATATTTGTAATGCTGAAAACGAGTTTGTGATTTGGACTTCCAATTCATTTGGGTCCACCGTTGTTCTTATATGATTGAGGCATCTGAATCGGAGAAGCTGGATGTAGGCAATGTGCCTACATCTTTGAAGAACTTCTTCGAGCTGAAGGATCTAGAGCGGGTAAGTGTTGTAGTTTGTTTATGAACTAGGTTTCTTAAAACGCATTATGAGTTTTTTCTTTAGTGTTGCTCCTTTATATTGTACGACATGTAATATGGTATATACCGAATAGTTTGCAAAATATGCATTGACATTCAACACTGTGTGTGCTGTAGTGTATGTTTTCTGGAATGCTTCACTTTGATATTATAATGCAAGCACGTATACTATGGAAATGACGCTATGTTGTATGTGAAGTGAATATTACATGTCATATTTTGATGTACATTACCAGCTACATGTTTTTTTATGTTTCTTTTTCTTTTCAGGTTCCACCCATCGTTGTGAAGCTGCAAGTCACATCATTTGAACCGAATGACAACGGCATGCATAAGTTGGTCGCTTACATTCATGACTCATGCACAGATAGTGCATCGATTGCACTAGGAACCACTGCAATGCACATCAACAGATGCTTCGAGAGTTATGTGAATGTGAACAAAAGAATGTTCGCATGTTCCTGTGTACCTGTGTAATGCTGTTTTCAAAACGACGATGCAATCCAACATTGTCATTCTTGACGGGCATGAAAATTTCCAAAGGTTCCTCCATGCGACGGAGTCTTTGACGTGGGCGTTGCCAAAGTGTAAGTATACATGATCACGATGAATAGCTTGTACTATGTGTACATAGTTAATACAATTTCTTGTCATTCTGCATCCAGAATGACTCATAACGACAAAGTGTGCATCTCCCTCATCTCCCTCATTCATCTGCCTCTCTTCCTTGTCTGTTCGCCTCTCTCTCTTCCTTTAACTACTATGATTTCGCTCGAGTAGGTTTCTCTGCCATTTTCTTTCCCATCCTCCCTGCAACCGTAATTCTTTAACGTTTTTGTTTCTATTTCGATGCTTCTTTTTATTTCGAAGGAGTCTTACACCTCCTTTGTCACCACATTAAACGCTTTGATTTGTGTCTTATAATTCTTCTTTTCTTTCCTTATATATTTCTTCATTTCTTTTGACTCCCTAAGGATGTACTTTAGGCAGGGAAAGTTAGCTGCATTGGTGGGGCATCACCCACAAGGGGGGTCGTGCATACGTGGTGTGTGGAGGTGGCAGGTGAGGCAGATGGCACCAGCGAGGAGCCAATAAGGAACCAGGTGCTTCTCAGCAGACAGATGGACATGCTCCGTAGCCGAGGGGTGAAGGAAGAGAACGGTCCTAAGGAAAAGCAACGCCACAAGTGAGCGAAGAAGCCATAATCTAAGGCGAGAGGAAAACTTCTGGCTTGACTTATAGAAAGAAGAGCGATAGCGAGAAGCAAAGGCATAAGAGGGCGGAGGGTGAACGAGGGAGGACAAGAGGAAGGGATACTACCACATAGCACGCGCTGTAGCACCCACCTTAATTCGCGCCGCATGCCCATCGCAACTAGGTTTCGCGCCGCACGCCCATCCCCTCTCACATATTCGTGCCGCACGCCCCTGGCACCAACTTTAGGGATATTGAATGCATCAGGGGCTTTTCTCAGTTGAGGGACCTGGGGCTGGCTGGGTGTAGTGTACATGTGGATTCACATGTGGGGGATCGGAGCCACAGCATGCCATATCTACAATCTCTGGACCTACCAGCCATGTGGGTCAGCTATGAAGGCGCATCTGAGCTTTATCTATTTTGCCGTTTGGAACGCCTGAAGGTGCATCAGTGCTGCAACCTGCGTGCCCCATTCCTACGGCACCTAATCTTGACGCCGCAGCTGAAGGAGCTGGACGTGGGCTTAAACTATGTGCAGCTGAGGTGGTTGAAGCCGATACTTGATGGGAAGCGGGTGGTCCGACTGTGTGTGCGCAGGTGTGGGTGGAGCAATAAACAGTTTTACTAGGTTCAACGGCCGTGGCTTCAACTGGAGAGATGATCCCGCTGGATGCATGGCATGTGTGTTTCGGCCATGCGTCGTCATAGGAGTAATGCAGAATGAAATGACCGCAGCAGAGTGCACAGCATGGGGGTGCAATAAGCATGCAGCTGCCATCTTGTACACAGTTTGCGCTGCATGGATGGCTCACGGCATGTGGTGCATGGCATGTGGTGCATGGCATGTGGTGCATGGCATGTGGTGCATGGCATGTGGTGCATGGCATGTGGTGCATGGCATGTGGTGCATGGCATGTTGATCCATCCAAGTGCCTTCATCCTGCAACAGCACACATCTCGACCTGTGATAGTTACATCCATCCAGACCCACCTCTCCTCTGTGCCCTTGTCCCCGTGGCTTCTCCCCTTATTCCCACCATCCCCTTCAACTAAAGTGGCAGACGTGTTAAGAACATTCTGTCAATGATTGACACTTTATCCTTACCGTAATCCCCCGGATAGAAGACCCCCCCAAAATACAACACCCCCGGGTACCTAATACGGGGGGGGGATCTTTTAATAAACCTCGATTTCGTTATACCCCCCCTTTGGGGGGTGATCAACATAAGACCCCCCTCTTTCCCCTTATAGGGGGTATTTCCATGTACTTTCATTTTCCTTTTTGAAATTGAGGCATTCTATAGTGCGAATTCGGCTTTCGGGGGGTGAATTCCCGTGTCAGGGGGTTGATTTGCTGAGTCAGGGGGCCGGTTTGCTGCGTCAGCTGGCAGAATCTGAGTGTCAGGGGGCAAAATTGCTGCGTCAGAGTACGAATTCCACGGTGATGGGCGAATGCGTTTTGACGGGCCAAGCGATCACCAAAAGCAAACCCACAACTTCGGTTTTGAATTTGGGTATTGAAAACACTAACAATAAGTAATACCATATGAAAAGACCCGGGTGTTATAAATTATTTTCCTTTGTTAAGACCCCCCCCCCCGGTTTTTTCTAGGGGTTTAATATAAGACCCTAGGGTCTTATATCCGGGGGAATACGGTATGTATTTTTGCAGCGGTATTTTCATAACAAGTATAGAGCTGCTTGTGATCAATGCTTGACATAATTCAAAGAAAATGACTCAAAACCACATTATTAACTTAGTGATTGAGCCACATCAACGATACGGACCTTTGGGTTTGCAAGAAGTAGTATCATACCGTCATACCCCGGATATAAGCGCCACCCGCGGATAAGCGCCTGGCGCTTTTAATCGGCGCCCGGCGCTTATATCCGGTGCTCGATTATAAGCGCACCCCCCTGAAAAAACTTGTTTTATTATAAGCGCACGTAAACTTTAAATTTTGAATTGTGTTCGAAACACTGTAACGATTTCTACTTCAGCAGGGGGATGTGTTGCAGATTCGCTTCCCTTCACATTCGGACCCTGCACTGGATGCGGGACCAGTCAGCAGGAGCAGTCAGGAGCTGTCAGAAGCTGTCAGAAGCTGTCAGGAGCTGTCAGAGTAGGTGTATCTCCAGCGCGCGCGAGAAATTTCACAGAACTTCGACTCGATTGAAAAAGGCTAGCACGAGATCTACAGCTTGGTGTTAAAACATATATAAAATATATATGTCGTTTTATAAACGCCGGCGCTTATAAATTTACCCGATTATAAGCCCACCCCCCCTAAAAAAACCTGTTTTATTATTGCCCCCCATGGGGGTATATCCGGGGTATGACGGTAACCGTCCTGGTAGAGTGCAGCAGCAGCGAATATGTAGCACATGGGACAAGGCACAATGCAGCAGCATGCAGCATTGCTATACTATGCAATGGTGGTCGGACGGAGGCACAGTGGTGCATCAAGCAACATAACCCTGGCTGGCTTTTGACGAAAACTTCTGATCCGTCTGACAACGAGAGCGGAATGCAGAATCAAGATTGGCGGGGAGCACATGGGGGATGTGATGTGACGCAATGCAGAAACGAGGGACGAGGCAAGGACACAGGAGAGATGAAGTGCAACAGTGCGATGCTGTGTGACGCTGTGGCTTTGTGCAATGCAGGCTGTGTTGTCAAGCAGGGCAAATATAGAGGACGTGTAAAAAGCACATGAATGGCAGGTATAGGACTGAAGGACAAGAACAGCAACAGCAAGCAAACCAAAGGACCGAAAAGAGAAAGTGTCTACTGCAAGAAAGGAGAAGACACTGTTAGTGGGAGTGGAGTGCGTGGGAGAAGCAAGTGGGGATAAGTGGGGGGGCTCACGAAGGAGGAGTATGAGATCCGTTCTGAAATGCCGGCGATCTCCTTGAGCTGCCGCCCGATGCTCACCTGCCAGAGAGAGAATGCGAGGCTTCAAATCCGTCAGCAATACAAAAAGCGTTCATTCAGCAGAGGCACAAACATGGACCCCACCAGGTGGGCACCAGGCATGCAACAGCTCTACAACCAGGTACACTACAATACACTACACTACACTACACTTCACTACACTACACAACAATACACTACACTACACTACACTTCACTACACTACACTACACAACACTACACTTCACTACACTACACAACAATACACTACACTACACTACACTACACTACACTACACTACACTACACTACACTACACTACACTACACAACACAACACAACACTACACTACACTACACTACACTACACTACACTACACTACACTACACTACACTACACTATACTGCACCACACTACACTACACTACATCATGGGCTACTCTCTAACGCACCAAGAACTCTGCCGGTGGCATTCACAGTTGGTGATCCACCCACGTGGTCCCCAGTCAGAACGACGGTGGCAGTCAGGGCGACAGCTCCAGACATGGCAGGAACACCTCGGGAAAAACGATTGAGGCTTGGCATACACCGACCCTGATCCCTCACCACCACTCTGCAGCAGGTGGAATCAGGGTCAACACAGCCGGGTGCACGATAGGGGGAAACCAATGGTCCACAGCAGCACCCACCTGCACTGCCTCGTTGCTCGCAGTCTTGGTCCACAGCACCACTCTGTCCTTGTTGGGCCGAGCGTTGGCCACCACACCACAAATGTCTCCTGCCTCTGTGAATTGCTCTCCTATCAGTGCCAGTAGCTGCCGAACAGGGGAGCACAGTCACACACACAGCAGGCAACAGAGTGGAGGAAAAACGAGAAATGGGTCACCTCATACGAGCTGTTGGTGTGAAACCAGAGAGAGTGGATATACGCGCTGCCACCTCATACGAGCTGCCACCTCATACGAGCTGCCACCTCACACGAGCTGCCACCTCACACGAGCTGCCACCTCATACGAGCTGCCACCTCACACGAGCTGCCACCTCATACGCGCTGCCACCTCACACGAGCTGCCACCTCACACGAGCTGCCACCTCACACGAGCTGCCACCTCACACGAGCTGCCACCCCACACGAGCTGCCACCTCACACGAGCTGCCACCTCACACGAGCTGCCACCTCACACGAGCTGCCACCTCACACGAGCTGCCACCTCATACGAGCTGCCACCTTTCCCAAGGTGGGAGGCAGCGAGGCAACATGAGCTCGTATGAGCCGGATGTTGGCCCGTTGAAGCGAGTCAACGAACAGCATTGTGGAGCCAGGCTGAGTTGGTTGGTGACTTGTGAACAAGCGGTGTGCAGCCCTCACCACATTGAGCCACACTCACCACATTGAGCCACACTCACCACATTGAGCCACACTCACCACATTGAGCCACACTCACCACATTGAGCCACACTCACCACATTGAGCCACACTCACCACATTGAGCCACACTCACCACATTGAGCCACACTCACCACATTGAGCCACACTCACCACATTGAGCCACACTCACCACATTGAGCCACACTCACCACATTGAGCCACACTCACCACATTGAGCCACACTCACCACATTGAGCCACACTCACCACATTGAGCCACACTCACCACATTGAGCCACACTCACCACATTGAGCCACACTCACCACATTGAGCCACACTCACCACATTGAGCCACACTCACCACATTGAGCCACACTCACCACATTGAGCCACACTCACCACATTGAGCCACACTCACCACATTGAGCCACACTCACCACATTGAGCCACACTCACCACATTGAGCCACACTCACCACATTGAGCCACACTCACCACATTGAGCCACACTCACCACATTGAGCCACACTCACCACATTGAGCCACACTCACCACATTGAGCCACACTCACCACGTTGAGCCACACTCACCACATTGAGCCACACTCACCACATTGAGCCACACTCACCACATTGAGCCACACTCACCACATTGAGCCACACTCACCACATTGAGGCACACTCACCACATTGAGGCACACTCACCACATTGAGGCACACTCACCACATTGAGGCACACTCACCACATTGAGCCACACTCACCACATTGAGCCACACTCACCACATTGAGCCACACTCACCACATTGAGCCACACTCACCACATTGAGCCACACTCACCACATTGAGCCACACTCACCACATTGAGCCACACTCACCACGTTGAGCCACACTCACCACGTTGAGCCACACTCACCACATTGAGCCACACTCACCACATTGAGCCACACTCACCACATTGAGCCACACTCACCACATTGAGCCACACTCACCACATTGAGCCACACTCACCACATGGCCCACACTCACCACATTGAGCCACACTCACCACATTGAGCCACACTCACCACATTGAGCCACACTCACCACATTGAGCCACACTCACCACATTGAGCCACACTCACCACGTTGAGCCACACTCACCACGTTGAGCCACACTCACCACATTGAGCCACACTCACCACATTGAGCCACACTCACCACATTGAGCCACACTCACCACATTGAGCCACACTCACCACATTGAGCCACACTCACCACATTGAGCCACACTCACCACATTGAGCCACACTCACCACATTGAGCCACACTCACCACATTGAGCCACACTCACCACATTGAGCCACACTCACCACATTGAGCCACACTCACCACATTGAGCCACACTCACCACATTGAGCCACACTCACCACATTGAGCCACACTCACCACATTGAGCCACACTCACCACATTGAGCCACACTCACCACATTGAGCCACACTCACCACATTGAGCCACACTCACCACATTGAGCCACACTCACCACATTGAGCCACACTCACCACATTGAGCCACACTCACCACATTGAGCCACACTCACCACATTGAGCCACACTCACCACATTGAGCCACACTCACCACATTGAGCCACACTCACCACGTTGAGCCACACTCACCACGTTGAGCCACACTCACCACGTTGAGCCACACTCACCACATTGAGCCACACTCACCACATTGAGCCACACTCACCACATTGAGCCACACTCACCACATTGAGCCACACTCACCACATTGAGCCACACTCACCACATTGAGCCACACTCACCACATTGAGCCACACTCACCACATTGAGGCACACTCACCACATTGAGGCACACTCACCACATTGAGCCACACTCACCACATTGAGCCACACTCACCACGTTGAGCCACACTCACCACGTTGAGCCACACTCACCACGTTGAGCCACACTCACCACATTGAGCCACACTCACCACATTGAGCCACACTCACCACATTGAGCCACACTCACCACATTGAGCCACACTCACCACATTGAGCCACACTCACCACATTGAGCCACACTCACCACATTGAGCCACACTCACCACATTGAGCCACACTCACCACATTGAGCCACACTCACCACATTGAGCCACACTCACCACGTTGAGCCACACTCACCACGTTGAGCCACACTCACCACGTTGAGCCACACTCACCACATTGAGCCACACTCACCACGTTGAGCCACACTCACCACGTTGAGCCACACTCACCACGTTGAGCCACACTCACCACATTGAGCCACACTCACCACATTGAGCCACACTCACCACATTGAGCCACACTCACCACATTGAGCCACACTCACCACATTGAGCCACACTCACCACATTGAGCCACACTCACCACATTGAGCCACACTCACCACATTGAGCCACACTCACCACATTGAGCCACACTCACCACGTTGAGCCACACTCACCACGTTGAGCCACACTCACCACATTGAGCCACACTCACCACATTGAGCCACACTCACCACATTGAGCCACACTCACCACATTGAGCCACACTCACCACATTGAGGCACACTCACCACATTGAGCCACACTCACCACATTGAGCCACACTCACCACGTTGAGCCACACTCACCACGTTGAGCCACACTCACCACATTGAGCCACACTCACCACATTGAGCCACACTCACCACATTGAGCCACACTCACCACATTGAGCCACACTCACCACATTGAGCCACACTCACCACATTGAGCCACACTCACCACATTGAGCCACACTCACCACATTGAGCCACACTCACCACATTGAGCCACACTCACCACATTGAGCCACACTCACCACATTGAGCCACACTCACCACATTGAGCCACACTCACCACATTGAGCCACACTCACCACATTGAGCCACACTCACCACGTTGAGCCACACTCACCACATTGAGCCACACTCACCACATTGAGCCACACTCACCACATTGAGCCACACTCACCACGTTGAGCCACACTCACCACGTTGAGCCACACTCACCACATTGAGCCACACTCACCACATTGAGCCACACTCACCACATTGAGCCACACTCACCACATTGAGCCACACTCACCACATTGAGCCACACTCACCACATTGAGCCACACTCACCACATTGAGCCACACTCACCACATTGAGCCACACTCACCACATTGAGGCACACTCACCACATTGAGCCACACTCACCACATTGAGCCACACTCACCACGTTGAGCCACACTCACCACATTGAGCCACACTCACCACATTGAGCCACACTCACCACATTGAGCCACACTCACCACATTGAGCCACACTCACCACATTGAGCCACACTCACCACATTGAGCCACACTCACCACATTGAGCCACACTCACCACATTGAGCCACACTCACCACGTTGAGCCACACTCACCACGTTGAGCCACACTCACCACGTAAAGCCACACTCACCACATTGATCCACACTCACCACATTGAGCCACACTCACCACATTGAGCCACACTCACCACATTGAGGCACACTCACCACATTGAGGCACACTCACCACATTGAGGCACACTCACCACATTGAGCCACACTCACCACATTGAGCCACACTCACCACATTGAGCCACACTCACCACGTTGAGCCACACTCACCACGTTGAGCCACACTCACCACATTGAGCCACACTCACCACATTGAGCCACACTCACCACATTGAGGCACACTCACCACATTGAGGCACACTCACCACGTTGAGCCACACTCACCACGTTGAGCCACACTCACCACATTGAGCCACACTCACCACATTGAGCCACACTCACCACATTGAGCCACACTCACCACATTGAGCCACACTCACCACATTGAGCCACACTCACCACATTGAGCCACACTCACCACATTGAGCCACACTCACCACATTGAGCCACACTCACCACATTGAGGCACACTCACCACATTGAGCCACACTCACCACATTGAGCCACACTCACCACATTGAGCCACACTCACCACATTGAGCCACACTCACCACATTGAGCCACACTCACCACATTGAGCCACACTCACCACATTGAGCCACACTCACCACATTGAGCCACACTCACCACATTGAGCCACACTCACCACATTGAGCCACACTCACCACATTGAGCCACACTCACCACATTGAGCCACACTCACCACATTGAGCCACACTCACCACGTTGAGCCACACTCACCACATTGAGCCACACTCACCACATTGAGCCACACTCACCACATTGAGCCACACTCACCACATTGAGCCACACTCACCACGTTGAGCCACACTCACCACGTTGAGCCACACTCACCACATTGAGCCACACTCACCACATTGAGCCACACTCACCACATTGAGCCACACTCACCACATTGAGCCACACTCACCACATTGAGCCACACTCACCACATTGAGGCACACTCACCACATTGAGGCACACTCACCACATTGAGGCACACTCACCACATTGAGGCACACTCACCACGTTGAGCCACACTCACCACATTGAGCCACACTCACCACATTGAGCCACACT